TTTCACCTGTGTAAAATGACAGCTGAGGAGGGGACTGAGTGGTCTATGTCCACTGCCTGGGGAGAATCTACTCATGTAGAGTGAGGGCAGATTGTTGACCAGAGGCTAGCTTTGAAATCAGCATGTCTTTAGCACCATAACTTTGTACAGAATATCAAAAATGTGTGGTTTTTCTTATCTGTGTTGTGTTAGCACTGCAATGCATCTGATTTTTATCAAGCTTACTCACTTTAAAGCCAGACACACATTCCTGAGTGTTTTGGTCCTGAACAACTCCACCTGGATGGGCTGCCTAGAGCACATGACAGCTTGCTCCTTGAAAACGTGGCTCCATAATAAAAATCGACTATATGAATCTCATAGTTATTTTTGAGTTTCAGAGGTACCATATAGTGTCTTGAGATGATGTCATCATACATTCCACTTACCAAGCTTTGCCTTTAATAAGATTTTGCAGAATGCTTAGACTTCCCTTTTAGTTACTAATACGTTTCCATATTTTTTCTTCAGAAAACAATTGATATCAATCCTGTTTCTTATATTCTAAGAATCTGCAGATCTTTTGCACTAATGACAGTTGTTGCTATCAAAACCACAAAAGTTGAGAGGGATATTTCTTTCCTTTTATTTTACATGACACCCTGAACCACTAGATGGCCTTAAAAAAAAAAAAAAAAGAAAATTTATTCATTTGTGTTTTACAACTCCTTGGGAGAAATATGGTCTAAATCTCTCCTGCGTAGTTAAATAGTCAAGGGAGGATAGCTGAGACACCTGAATTTTGTCTGTGGTCCAGCCCTGATGCTGTTTAAAGTCTTTTGGCTTGCGCTGACCTGATCTCCTGCCTACTATAACTTTGTATATAACCATCTGTAGAGTAGCACTAATTTAAGATTAAAAAGAAATAATAATTTGAGGTATTGTGAAGCATTGCTAAGAGCACAGAGCCAATATAGTAGAGCTGTACTAAAACATTTTAACAGATCCCTAAAATGTGAAGCTCTCTCTTGAATGGCTTGGCCTTAAGATACTTGGCTTGTCTTTAAGGCGAACTTCTGCTTTTGTGGTTGAAAGAGCAGGAGAGGAGAAACAGAAAAGAGAATCTTTTGAAGACTCCAGTGATAAGCCTCCAGGGCACAGGCTGGTTTAGAAGCAGACTCTTTGTAGCCTGAAGCTAGGTTGCAGTGATATTTGCAGCTTCCTTGTTTCCAGTTTTCCTTGCTTTGCCTTCAGACTGATTGTAAGCATATGATTTAACATAACCTGTCTTCAGCTGCATAAAACTGATATACCTAGGCTAGGACAATCACTTGGTCTCTCTTTATAGTCACTGAAGTGAGATAGATTTGATTTTAACACCAGTGTTTGAATAAGATGAATTGCCTGTTGGAGACGTGTAGATGTCTCCATTGGCTCTTGTGGAAAACTAGAGGATAATGATCTGTAGATAAGTTGCTTGATTTTTAGGTGACTGAAGTTAAGTGCAGTGAATCTCACCCAGAGCATCTTTATTTGCTAACCTTGATTCTTCCATCTGAAGAACAAAGTGCTCAGCAATGAGGAGCAACCCCAAATCCTCTACTTTCTCCAGAATCCTGTCCACTATGATGCAGCTTTATTTTTCCTGGAAATACTTTTCTGCAGTTTAATCAACTTGTATATTGCCATTGTCACTTCAGTTACATTGAAAAAAGCCCAGATAATTATTGCAGACAAAAGGAGGGCACTAGCCCCTTGTTGTGTTGTTTGACCAAAACAGATTTCTTAAGGACCTTTTTCTCCCTGTGTTTTGTATATTTAATGTTTGGGGGAAAGTTCTGCATAGAATTGCTCTAAACTTCGATTAGTGTGATTGTGAATGCACTGAAATTCCCTTGGGATCATGCTGCCTTGCCATGTGAGTTCTGTGGTTTTCATCTGTACCTTGACTATTTATGTTTTAAATGGAAAAAGATGAGTGTGATGTCTTATGTGGTTTCACTTAAACAGTGACACAGAGCAACCTTCCCTCACCTCACCAAACACAAACCATTTTGTTTGAGAACATGCTACAGTGCTTGTGCTAAATTTTGTTAGAGGCAGTTTGTAGCTGTATTAATACACATCATTTTAATGGTCTTTCATCCTGGGAAGGTCTGGCACAGACATAGAAAATGAATTTTCTTTTGAAGGCATGTAGGGCTGCTTGGTCTGTGTTGAGGTTTTTATCAGCAATAAAGTGTGAATAGAAGCAACCAAAAAGAAAACAAGCAAGAAAAAAAAAACAAACAAAAGAAAAAAAATTGACATGAAATGGTGTCCTTTTTCCAGAGGCTAACCATTAGATCTCCTTAGGGTCTTTCTTTAACTCTGCAGATATTTCTTCCATGTAATTTTTTAAATAGATGCCTCATTACCTTCGATCTTCGTTGACTTCAATTTCTGTGCCAGTGGTTCACAGAGCTGCTTGTTCCCTCCTGACCATTTTCACTGCAGTCATTTTGCCCAGCCCTCCTCCAAATTTTGTTAATATGTTGTTGCCAAAAAATGGACTTGATATGTTTCCTGAAAATTTTGTTTTCTCTCACATGAATCAAGCATCTGGCTATTTGTATTGACAAACTTTTGGCTAAACCTTCTACATGCAGATGTAGTATAGTACACCTTTTATTTTCACAGTAAAAATTTTCTGCCTTTTAACTTTTCTGATTCTGACTTGGTGGTGATGAGAAACATTTTTGTGGCCTGTCATTCCATATCTGTCAGGTGCCCTTTCATCTCTTCATATTTCTTCCTGGGTCTCCATAGATGTATGAGGCATTTTTGAATAAGACCATTCAAACATAAATTTTTCTTTTAGTTAATTTTTCTTTTGCCAGTTTTCACTCTCATTCCATTTCAGTAACCTTGGAGCTCACTGGAATCACATAGAAAAACCTATTTTGGTGGCCTATTTACCTACTTGGAGAAGTAAAGGCTGGAAAAGACTCCATGATCCTTATTTTAGGGGAGATGTTCTTGTCTGGAGGCTTCCTAGCTTGTAAATGTTTCTATGATCTTTTTTCAAAAGATGCTTCACTTGATATCTTTATCAATTTGAGAGGTTAATACTGCACTGTTTCTTTGAATATTTATTGCACCATTAATGTTTCATTGAGCAGTTTGTAATACAAAGTGATCAGAAACTTTTTGGTCTCCTCTCTCTTGTCCTGATGGGACAGGATGAAAAAAGAAATAAAAAATCCTTTAGTCAGATGTAGTGAGTCTCCATAAAAGCATATAAGTTCTTGTACTAATTGCTGGTAATCTATTAACAAAAAGTGTACCACATTCATCTTATTAATGCAAGGGCATGTTATATTCCCTTTCCATTGGAAGTTTCCCCACTCTTAAATGGACTTAGTCTGCAGGGTTCACATATTAACTGTGCAAAAAAAATTGCCTTTTCTCAAGTGCAGCTTCCTGGAATAATTGTTTTGTGATGTGTCCCTAGTATGGGTTTGGGGTGTCTTTCTCCTACTTTTTAATATTTACATAAACATTTTTACCTTGAGCCTTACAAAAAAAAATCCCATTAACTTGTAGGATGTTCTGTTGATATTTAAATGGTGTATGTTCCACATTCAGTTTCTGGTATTTTTCAGCAGCACATGTATGTGTATTTGGGATATAGGCTGGGCTGTCAGTATTGTGCATGCATAGCCATGGGAACATCTGGTGCCTTCTGAGATAGGAATAACGGAGCTGCTGTATTAGGTGAGATGTGTCTAGGCTACTGGGATGTTCTAGTGGTGTTTTGTTGTGTTCCATTGCCTTAAAGATTGTCAGGAAAATGAAATGTCATTGTTTAATTACATCAGGAAAATGAAATGTCATTGTTTAATTACATCTGACATCAGTAATGTTTACACTTAATTATAGGAGAGAAGAACTTCAATATACTAATAATGTAAAGAGAGCAGACGACAGTGAAATATTACTGAATTTGCAGGAAAGATGGTCCTTCTAGATTTGCAATAATCTGTTTCTGAATTCTGAAAAGCAAAATTATGACTGGGATTGGATTTTTGAATTTTGGCACTTTTCTTCTCGTTATTTGGAATCCAGAATGATACTTCATGCTGTTAATACCTGCTGTCTTTCAAAAATGCCAGTGGCATCAGAAAAATGATTATATGGCAGGATGGCTTTCTTTTTTATTACAAAAAGTCACAGGCACAGTCTCTGTCAGCCAAATAAAGAGTAGAAAATAGGGAAGAAATAGCTCTTGTAGTTCAGAATAAGGGGGCTTTGGTGGATTTTTTTTATTATGCCAGCCATTTATAGAACAAAATTTGCATATTTTGCTTCAAGAAAGAGTACTATGGGTAATAATAATACATGACTCGTTATTTGGGATATAAAAGAGTAGATGTTACAAAAATAAATAATAATGAATGAAAATAAGAATAATAAAAGCAGTGAAATTATGTCAAAGCAAGCATAAGAGGTAGGATGATTAAGAGTAAGGCAGGCTGTCAAAGACTTGCATTTAAAGGAAAAAGGTGACATGTGAACTTGAAACTAGGAATGAAATTTAATTTGGCTGCTCTGTGACTCTGTGTTCCCCAGCCCTACAGATCACGCTGTGAATTGTTAAAGTCACTGTGCTTGATTTATGATACTTTTGCTTACTAGAGGGAACTTGAAAGACAGGCATTTCATATAATTTCAGGAGAGGTTCTTAAAATGTGGAGAGATTTTGTAGGCTCTGCAAAAATACTGAACCATGTATTTACTAAGGGATTTTCAAATGCCTTTGTTATTTTAGTCTCTCTTGTTTTTTTAACCATATGGAACAGGATAGAGAATAATTCATTTGTGTTTATTTATATTTTCAAGAGAACCAGAACATTTTTCCCCACCTTAGCAGAATTTCTTAGAACCTAAGTAGGACAAATTGACTAATCTGCTCCTCAGAACTAACCAAAGCTGTTACATTTCTTTGGTGTTTATTCTGTATTTTCTGTCTTCTCTTTTAGGTGGCCAATGCTTCTCCTGGGGATGGAACGAACATGGGATGTGTGGTGATGGCACAGAAGCAAATATTTGTGTCCCGAAGCAAGTCAAAGCTCTCAATTATGCAAAATTAATTGGATGTGGGGCAGGACACTCCATGGCTCTTTGTCAAACTCCACATTAGACTTAGCACACCTGGAATCATAACATCATGGATGTGTGCGGACATCTTTGGGTTGCATAGCTCAGAAGAGCTACAAGAGAATTGCCCATGATTAACACAATAGTTGGAAAGTTGTTTTTTCTAAGTCTGAAAGGAACAACTATGGATAGAAAACTATAATACTTTAAAAATTGTTTCATGGGTTCTTGTCACAGGAATTGACTTTCTTACCCACAGATAGAATTACAGACATTTCGCCTCGAAGCAAAACAACTGAAGACAGATTTATTTCTTATTCTTCTGAGAAGTCTTTGGGAAAGAAACTAACTTGTTTATCACTTATCATTGGTGTATAAGTTCAGTCTGAGGAAATGGTCTGAGAAGGAGGTCTTTTGTTATTGTATCTTTACATCACTATAAGCATATGTTGCACCTGCCAACTTCTGCTGGAGTTGTGAGCTCCCAGCAGCTCAGAAAGTCGTTTGTATCACAAAGAAATACCAGTGAACATAAATAGATGCATACACACATTTTAAACAGAAGATTAGGATAAAAAAAAAGGTGATGTAATTTAGAAGGCTGGTAAAAGGGGGAAACGAGACCCTTTTGAACTAGCTTTATCTTGATTAAACTGTGAAAGGAGCAGTATTTCTGATGTTCTGTGCCAGGCATCAGTTTATTATAGATTTACAGGGATGCAAATCTGTGTGAATTATCATTAACTTGCAAAGCAAACCTGAAGTTTCTGAAGCTACTGCTTAGGGAAGAAAAAATTTTAAGAGCTCTTGGAAACAATCTAAAAATTCTTATCAAAGGGCATAAGTCAGTTGTAGCTGTCGACAACGGTTTGATCAAACATAACTCCTGTATTTCCAGCTGCCTTTCAGTAGGAAGACATCAAAATCTAACCAGAAAGATTTTACAAGTTCTGCAGCCTAAAAGGCACACCAAAATAATCCTGATGGTTTCAGGTTAGTTCTCACTTCCGTTTCACAGCCCAGCTGAGTTACTGTTCATGGCATGCCCACAGTACTTGTTTCAGGTGAGAGCTTGACAGAGAATGTAGGCCTACCACTTGTTTTGGTAGGAGAAATAAAAAAGTATAAAATAAAATATCTTCAGATATTATTAGCTGCCTATGCTGAGCAAAATTTTGGAAGCTATTTATAAAACTGTTTTTTTCACTCAGATACATTGGATGCTATTAAACTGGGTGTTTACCACCCACAATACTTACATTTGCTGTGGTACTCAATGTATTTCAAGTTCTAAATATAGAGAGTTCTACTGTGTGGTAAATGCACCTTTTAATGAGACCTACTGTTGCTAAACAGTGGTTTACTTTTTAAAGCAGGCTTGCCAGGGAGGAAGCCTTTCAGAATTAAAAAATACTCAGAGAAAGGCTCTTGGGAAATAGGACAGGAAGACTTTCTAATGATGTCTCAGCTTACACATGAAGGGGAAGGAATTAAGGTGATAATATGGGCTGCAAGGATTTTTTCACCCTTGGTTTTACAGCAATTAGAGTTCATGGCCTCATTTTCAAAGGTATTTTATTTTTCCATTTGATGGATGAGAAACTTGAACAGACTATGAAGTGGATTTTAGCTATTATAGATACCAAAAGAATTGGTAAGAATAACCAAATGGATCCTCTGCAAAAAGTGTAAAATCGAGACTTCTGTTGTAAGGTGGGTTTTTTAACCCATGTATTGGTTGTGGTTCTTCATGGCAATATATTGTTTGAGGCTGTGACTTCTTGTACTTTTAATTATCTAAGCTGGTATTTATTGATTGTCCACAATGCCATTTTCAGAATACCAGAGTGTCTCTACTATATGCACTGAACAGTTTCTCATGCTTTTTTCGGCAGTCCTGTCTGAGGTTTCTACTTCTGTTTTTCTCCAAAACCTGTGTACCAAATAAACATGTTCCCTCTAAATCATGTCCTCTAAACAGTGCTGTTCCTTCATTAATCACAGCTAGTATGTGTGCGCTACATTGGGGTTACTGGACTGGATGTGTTTCGACTGGGTGTGCTGTTGCTGCAGTTCATTTCAGAGGAGTCCAACAGATTATGTAACAAATAAGTGTGAGTTGGTTATTTGAAATGTTTTTCAATTTTTCACACCTGTAACACGAACTCACTTTTGGAACACAATGAATGATTTGGGGTGATAAGGTGAGGAAAGAAAGAAGTACTTCGGTTTGTTCCTTGTGCTGACCCGCATCTGATCTTCGTCTTTGAAAGGCAAGAACTTCATTTTCTCTCCTTTGTTGTGCCTATGTAGATGGAAAATTTTGGGAAATACTGAATGCTCTGTTGGTCAGGACTTCTAGATGATGCTGTAGTATGAAGAGTGAATAGAATTCTTTATAGAAGGGACATGGTTAAATGTCAAAACCATGTTGTTGCTCATTCTTTCAGAAATTACTGCCCTGTTTAGTATATCAGTAGCTTTGTTTGCAGAATAAAGCATTGTACAAAATCAGTTAAGGCCTTCTCTGTAAGGAAGGGAGCACACAGTGAAAAGCTCCTGATCAAGTGGGAAAAAAAACTTTCTTTGCTGGTGTCCAGGGCTTATGACTGCTACCTGTTGATGTCCTGATGGAGAAGGTCAGTCTCTGCAAGGCAAAATGCAGAGCCAGTGTGCTATACCTGTGCTTCTGCGGTTCATACAAAGTTCTTTGAGCAGCTCTTTTGTGATAAACAAAGCAAACCTTTTGTATAAACATTCTGTGCTCAGGTTCAGATGCAAATGAACTGACAAGGTTTGTAACATATGTATTTATAAAAAGACACTGGAACAAGGTAAGCAAGTGTCTGTGCAGTTACTCTCCCCTCACTTTTTCGAAGATGAGCAAACCCCCCAGTGAGCTGACATTCTTGACAGAGAACAAGTTGTGAGCTTTTGACCTTCAGTCCAGAGAACTTTCAGGCTCTTGGGCTGGAGGGGGGAGAAGGAAGCTGTTGTGAGCCCTTCTGTTGTTTGAAATCCTGGGAGTTCTGTGGCTGTTACTCATGCAGCCTCCATGTGCACCTGCACAAGACCCTCCTGTTCCATTTTAAGGAATGTCAGTAGGATTATGTGTCTTGTGAAACTTGGACAGAAGTTTCTGTATCTTGGAGGATTTTTTGGCCTACCTGATGATCACTGATGTTATTTGACTTTATGTAGAATGCCTGAGTGACTTGATGCTTTTGTGCTTAGAAACCCTGTATTTGAACTGTGTTCATTTAAAAGAAGAATTGAATCCTGCTTTTCTTCTAGTTTGCCCAGTCACCACTTCTTATATGACACTGACTTCCCTCTTCTCTTTACATATTGTCAGTCCTATTGGTGTGTAAGTAGTTCTTGCCATCTGCAACCATCATAAAGGTCACTTCTGCATGAGTGACAGGAGATTTTGTTCGGCTACATGTTTTGAGCACAGAGAAATTGGGGGGGATGGGAAGATTTCATTGTGCTTTATGACATGTTTTGAGTTATAAGACTTAGAGATGAAGATGGAAAACAGATGAAGGAGATCAGTTTGAATGTATAGGAGAAAGGTGACCTGGAAAAATATTTAAATAAATGTCAATAGAGAGCCTGACATAGTCAGCTAAAACATAGGGAAAAGGAGGGGGAAGACAGAGTCAAGATACGGGTCCTGAAGACTGAGTAATCTCACAGGTGTAGCAGCATTCCAGCCTATCAGTGTGGTGGGAGTGAGATGAGAGACAAGCTATTCTGTTTCTTGGATGTTATTGTTCCCCCTCTTCCACTGTTTATTAATAATAATGTGAATTATTGCCGTGCAGTTTTGGTGGGTTTTTTTCCTCTTTCATAGCACATCTTGAAATTTCCAGTTCTCCTCAGGTGAAACAGGAACATCTGTCCTCACCTTCCAGTCTCAGAAATTTTTTGATCAGGCCTGTGATCTAGTCCAGCATTTAATCAAATACTTACTATTTTTTCTATTCAATTTCATGAACTCTGGATCTGATTTAAACAAGACTTAAGTAATTTTGGGACTTCCAGTTCCTTTTCTTCTGTATTAAAAATCAAGATGATGACAGATCTTTGTCACTGAAATTGCAATGTCATGTTTTCACCAAAAAGTCCCATGTTCTCTTATCAAATCTTGTGCTTTTTCTTTTAGCTAGATATTTTCTTGAAAAGTACTCCAGAATTTTTCATCAGTAGTTGAGTCATGCTTCTGCTATTTACTGCCAGCTTATAGTTCAGAGCAGGTGAAAATCCTGTAAAGGTAAAAAGAAAACACTGAAGCAGAAGGTGAAAGTCTTGCTTCCCAAAGGCTTGGAATGGATGGAGTCTGGGGCAGAGAATCACCTTGTGTGGTTTTGATTGCACTTCAAAATGCACACAGTGGAAAAGTGGTATTTACAACAAATTTGCTGAAAAGTCCAGCTAACACAAAAATAATTGTACATTTTAACTTTTCACATATTTATATCTTGGTACATATGCAAAAAAGTGGTAGTACATGCTTTGTTCTTTTCTTTTAGCTTTTGTTCTATTCTTATTTCCTCATAAGTGCTGATCTTACTTGGTTTCCTTCATGTTAGAAAGAATTATTTAATAGCCTTGAATTAAAATGTTTTGGTTTTACAGAAAATGGCCTTCTGTTGGATGAATATAACTGTGGAGGTCTTTATCATATGTGCCTTTGAAGTTAATTTGAAGAAACTGCATGTGTAAAGCCATTGTTACTTTGTAACCCGTTTAGATGTTGAAGGACTGAAGTCAGGCACATTCTTGAGCTATTTGTGCATTTCATTCAGGTTCATCTGTCAGTTGTCTCAGCATTCACCTGTTTTTAATGCAGAGACAGTTTTTACTCATCAGTGCCTCTGTAGAACATCAAAATAGAGTATGTGACTGAAAATATGCAACAGTGAAAACAGTCTATGTGTTTGAATCATGGCCTGGATGAACCACGTTTCCTTGTGGGAGACTGAGGAAGCATAAATTTAGAGTATTGGGAAAACATATTTTTCAGCTTGGTTGGAAACAAGAACAACAAAGTAATTATTCCTGAATAAAAGCTGGCTGGGGGATGAGAAAATGCAGGGGTGACATTTGTTTTGCAAAATTTCCTCAGACTTTTTTGTGACATGTCGGATTTCATCTCATTTTCAGATGAGCCTTTGCAGGTTGGGAGGGGGTCATGTCTAAGTCCAGTTCCCATGTTGGCCAGCCTCTCACTCAATTCATTTCCTTCGTTGTAATCTGTTTCCAGTTTGCTTTGCCTGTGGGCCACCTTGTTATTCAGATGCTATGCAGCCCTTGGGGGAGTTCTGTCTGCGGGTTTTCGGATCAAGATTTGAAACTGCAGAATTTCAATTCAGTATTATTCAGCTACTCCCTGGTCATCATAATCTTTTAAGTGTATGTGAACATTTTACTATAAGACTGTGGGTTTACCTTTTTTTTTTTTTTATATTTAGAAGAGAGGCCAAGAATTGGGAGATTTTTAATGTTCTGACATGCCTTTAGTTTTTGGCTGCAAATGTCAAGTGAGTTTAGCTTTTGTTTTGTTTTTTTTTTACTGATTTGAATGCATAAAGACATGTGGTACCTAAATTAGGGGAGCAGAGGAGTTGCCAATCAGTAATGAAAATACTCTGTCATTTTAACTGTGTGGGTGCTTAATAATTTTCCATAATAATCCTCTGCTTTAAAGCACAGAAGAAAAGGGATTACTATAGGAGTATTGTGCTCTTCTGCAGACAAGGAAACATGGCATCTTTCAAATAATGGAGAGACACTTCTCTCCTCTGGTGCCTTAATTCTGAGTAGATGGATTATAATAACTATTCCTTTTTAAATACTGCCTTTCCTCTTTTGACATCAGAACACTTTAAAAAAAGGATAATGTCATAGAAACAGAAGCTGAGGCACAAAAGATTGAATATCCCCAACCAAGGTAATCCAGCATGTCCCCAATGGAGTCAAGAATGAAATTCCCATTTCCTGAGTCCCAGCCCAAAGTTTTACCTTCTAGGCCAGTGCTTTTCGATTATTTTTTTGCCACTCTTTCTTTCTCTCCTTGCTCTTCTTTCCCCCTCACTACTGATTGCTGTTTCCAGCACTCCTACTTGCATAACCCATTTTCCAAACCCATCCTGTGTCCTCCTCATTTCCTGCTTCTGCTACTGCCACCTCTTCTCCAGCCACCCACTTGAACTGACACCACCGTGGCAAAGCGTGGCTCCAGCGGAGCTGCTTTGCTTGGGCTTAAGCCATGTCTCCTGTTGTGCTGCTGTGACTCACAGTCAGCAGCCTCTGCGCAGACTGTGTTGTCCCTGCTAAGCCCTTTGGGATCTAGAAGCTGTGCAGGTACCTTAGAGTGACAGCTGAGCTAATACAACTGCAAGACTTTGCCTTTTGCTGCCTAACGAATCTCTAACCTGTGCTTCATGGGGTGCAGAAAAAACAGTGGAAGCCTTGGAGCACATGCTCTTAATATTTGGTACCTGGAGATGTTTAGACCTCTATACTTTTGCATAAAGTTTTTTCAATGTTCAAGTGAATGCTGAGGGTTGAAAACCTGAGTTTGCCACCTTGAGCCAGGGAATATGTCTTTCCATGGGGGCATGTGAATCTGCTTAGTTTTAAAGCATTTGCTTTGTCAGATAAAGAAAGTCAAGAGATTCAGTTCTGGATCTCTTTTCTAACTTGAAGTTCAATTTGAATTCAAATATTGTTCTTGATTGCAAATAAACATTTGTATTTCCCTAGGAGAAAAATGGAGCACCCTGCAGTCCTAGATGAATGCAGAGGCTTTGGGACTTCTGAACAGATAGATATTTTATGCCCAAACTCTAAGGGAGTGACCCAAAAATAGCCTGCATAATTTAAGCATGTTTTCATGAAGAAAAGGTAGTTTGTGTGTGAGCTCAGAGACAAAGTTCCTTCCAGGATATATATGGAAAGCAGAGAGGTAGGCTGCCTTGTTTTGAAACTAGGAAAGGGATATGCAAACTGGCAGGGTAATAACTGCACTTGTCTTTTTCTTCAGGACATCTTTTTTTGTAAGCAGCTCTGTGCTCATTTCCTTTCTGAATGCCCTTGCCTTAGCCCTGCTTGCTCTCTTCTGTATTTTAGTCTGCTCATTTGTCCTAGCAGCCATTTGTTTCAGTGAAGTATTTTCTTTTTGGCACTGAAACTTTAAGAAGAGAGAAGGCAATTTAGGTGAAAAATCACTTTATCCAGATTAATGACTGCTGCGCTGACTGTTATCACAGCGGTATTAGCTAGATTTTTTTTTTCTTTTCTTTTTTTTTTTTTTTGAGAGAACAGAACCCTCAGAAATTTATTCTATCTGAAATTGTAATTGTGGAGACACACCAGGTTAGTCCAGAAAAAGCGAGTCCTCATGTACTCAGAGGAAAAGCTGTATTTATAGAAGGTGTGGTTGAGCCATGCTTTCAATGTTAGCAAGTGATAAGCCACTAATTGCCAGTTGGTTCAGGTGAGGGACCAGCATTGGGTCTTATAGCTGGGAGTTCATTGCCGAAAGCTGAGTTTACAGAGAAGGAAACACAGATTTCATTTCCAGCAGGAAACAGAGTGTAACTGAACTGCAGAACATACTTCTGTTCTTACTTAACAGTGGTGTGAAGTCAGAAGTAGTTGATGGCATTATTGAAAGCCTGTAGTCAGAATCTACCCACATGTATAGTTTTAATGCTTTAATAAAGATATGTACATCCTGTTGGGGAAGGAAACAGGCTTGAAGGAATTAATGTTTTAATGATACCCCAGCAAAAGCTCCTTAACTGTGAAGCAGCTGGGATGATGTGGTAAATTTCTCTTAGGATTCAATGCAATAGCTTCTGATATTTTCCAGTTTTCTTGTCTCCCTCTTTCCCTGTGTTGTCAGAGCTGCCACTGTTGTGCAAGGGGAACTCTGGGGTTAGACAGACTTTAAGCTTTAGGGTGTCTCCTGAAGGACAGCGGATGGTAAGTGCTGTTCTGTTTGTGAGTGGTTTATAAAAGTCCTCCAAAAGACATGGTTACCTCAAATCAGAATGAGCAGATAGGACCTAAAGGTACCTAAATGAAAACAGGACTGGTAGATGTAAAAAGCAGCACAGAATGACAGTTGTACCCAACCTGTTAGCTAAGGCTCAGGTATATGCAAAGTGCAGTGGAAGGGGAAGACCTACATGGGATTTTCAGGTCTGAATTGTTAGTATTCCTTATAGTAATGGAGAATTGAGCTACCTTCACACTGGGCCCTTGAGCTAGTGTTAAATAAAAAAATGGGGCAGATAAATCTATATCTGGATTCTTAATACATTATAAGAGGAAAAGATGTTCATTAGGCAAATCCTGGATGAACCTGGATCTACCTCTGGAGGTAAGAAATTTATCTTCTGAGAATGACAGCATAGTAACAGTGTGAAAAAAGTAGTTCTAGGGAGAAACTGAAGTAGAAATCAAGTACATAATGCTTTATCAAGGACTACAAAGGACTGTTCTAATTATGCACAAATTCAGATTAAGCCTTTCTTCTATTCCTAAAATACAACTTGAGGTCTTGCTTGTTTTTTCTTTTGGAGTAGAATTTTGTGAAGACAAGATCCAGCTGCAGTTGGTTTTGTTGTTTATAATTTAGCACTTACCAGAGCCATGAGTGTTTCTTCTGGGTTTTTGTGCATTTAATCTCTACTTCCTCCAGACCATAGGAATACTATTCCTTTACGTTCCCATTCTCATCAGCAGTTGCAGATGCTGTGGCTTGCCTAGAAGGTTGTCAGCTCTTCTGAAGTTCCTCACATGAGGATAAAGGTGTGTATCCTTCCTTCACAGAAGTACTTTACCGAAAATGCTCAACCAACTAGAACACTGCTGATACATAGTCCATAGTTGTCATTTGTAGCATCTAAAATGAAATTTAATCCCATTGTGTTTCTCAGTTCTTACTGGTGCATGTTTTGTGTGGCAAATCAAGTGCAACTCAGACACCTGGATTTCTTTCAGTTTCGTGTCAGGTGGACTGTTGTGGCTCAGTGAAGAACAAGTGAAGGACGGGGCCCAAAGAAGTAAGAAAAACTGAATTCATTTAATCAGCTAAAAAGACAAACATTTATTATTGTTGGGGAGGGAAAAGGAAGATACCTAGATAATTATAGGGTTTTTTAATCTTCCCTTGTAAAATTACTAATGGTGCGAATTCTTTAGACATCGGTTGTATCAAGTGTTTGCAGGCTTCATTTATTATCTACTAATCAAAATTAGCATTGTAGAACCAAAGCAATACCAAGCTTTTCTCCTACATTTCTGTTGAGAACACTGTATTTATTCAAGATTTTAGAAGCAAGTCTCTGGAAACCCCTGATTGCTTCAGAAAAGGATTCCCCTTTACACTATACAGCAGGCACTGAAACCATGATACAAAATTTATTTTCATGCTAGAATTGTTTTGCATAACATTGTGCATGCATTTTACTCAGTACTAAATTGCATACAATGCTGTTGTCTTGTTTCTTAAACTTTGAGACCATTTATACTTGAGTATTTTCCTGATTTTGTACTATAAGTCCCAGTTTTAAAATAACACCTCTTTTGTTTAAAATTCATACTGGTTACTTAATATGAACAATTTATGAAGGGTCTTTACGGATCTATACATCAATAAAATACAACATAACCAGAGCTGGAAAATTACCCAGCTGTTACTGTCAGGTCCGAAGGAAGGTCCCATGTGTCACAAGCATGCCAACAAAAACAGACAGGAAAAAGTTTTTCTTATTTTTATACACTTCTAGTTGGATTAAAAGTTCTTGATTTCCATGTCGGTGTGATGAACTGTGAAGGCGTGGTCAATATGACCGATGACTGCCTGATTGCACTTTTTAAAACCATTACTCTGTATCTTGTATACAAAAAGAAGCGATCCATAGCAAAGAAATGTACAGTTTTATAATGTTTTACATTTTGGCTACAACAATGTATGTAAAAGTAAAGAGCTTTCAAAGAAAATATATAACTTTGCTTTTTTTTTATCTTCTTAATCATACATTTGCAGTGTTTCTTGTGTGTGTGTTGTTTTGGGGTTTTTTGTTTGTTTTGGTTTTTTGTTGTTTTTTTTTTTTTTTCATTTTCATTTTTGTCTTCATGCAATTCATGCTATGGAACAAAAAAATAGATTAAAAAAAAAAAAAAGATCTTCTACAGTTTTGTTACATTTTGGCCGTAGAAAAAGCCTGCATCTCTAGTACAACTCCAGAACCATGAAGAATCATCCATAAAACCTGCATGGAGCGAGTTAACTTTGTCCAAATGAGAAGGTCTTCTATGCCTGCACAGTTCCACACAGATGTTTATTAGCCATCAATGTTCATCTCCATCTTGCCTTGTCAGGTCACTCTGACTGCCTCTGTTGGCATATATTTAGCAATGACTGGACTTTCTTTGCAAAGATCTGCATGTAAAGAATACAATCAGTACTTGAGCTTCTTCCCTGTGCTTTTCACATCAAGCTCGGCATCTTAGTTTTAAAGGAAGGAGGAAAAGGTGAGATAGCTACATGCAGAGGCAGCCATATTCTTCTTCAACAGGATTTTTTTTTCCATGCAGTCAGCCAGACTGAGACCTCTCTACAGTGTGTCTGAGTATTGCTTTCAGCTTAAAATAGGTGCCCATGCAAAGTTTCATCCTACTGTGCTTGTTTGCTCAAACTCCTGCAGGGTTCCTATGGCTCAAAAATATCCTGAGAAAAGCAAAATCTTCCATCGTTGGCATGTTTCAGCATCGACTAAATGCCTAACCCATTCCATACAGAGCCAGTAGATCCACCATTAGCCAAAATAAGCACATACTAGCAGGATGCACCAGGAAGGAAACTATCTGGTGCATCTACCCTTCATCCTATGTACTGATACCATGCAGCGCGTATGGCCCACCAGTACTACGCCAATGCCTGCCTATGTCATCTGAGTGCTATTTAGGAGTGTTGTCACCTAGCATCAGTAGTAACACCGTTTCCGGCAGGTGCTACTGTGAGACATTGCATCTTCAGACTTAGTCACCTGGACTATATGCAACATGGCATAGGCTAATTGAAAATAAAGCTTTTTAGACCATTCTCTGCTACTGATCCATGCTACAAAATAGATGGGATGGGAGACCAAGAACGTCTCACTGGACTAGGAGAGCTGTAGGGCGCAGACACTGAGGATAATCCTATCGCTTTTCCACTTATGCCAGCTATGCTGTTAAGGCTCCGTGACATTTCGTAACCTTCATTTAAAAGAAAAATGCAAAGTACAGCATTGGATCAATGACAGAATGGACTAAGAATGAGGTCAACATTGTAGCCGGTTCAATAGCATCTGCATGCACAGACATGCCGAGAGTAGTATCGCTTGCAACGTGACTCAGAAGGCCGTTGAAATACGGAACAAGTTTAAAATATATATATTTAAAAAAAAATCATCATTTCTCAAGGGTGGTCAGGCTATGTAATTGATCCTATAGGCAGCAACATGGTTGTACCCTAAGAAAACAGAAGAGTCAGTGGGAGGGATTTTCTATGTCTCCATCATACACTCACACATACTTCTCCCTTCCACTTCATGCATTTTTACTTCAGGCAAAATTAAGGTTTCTGGCATTTTTGGGGGCAGGAGGGGGAAAAGGCAGCATAGAATTAATTTTGTTGCTATAGAGATACTACTCCTTTGTTCTCAGCATTAAAAAAAAAAGAAAAAGAAATCAAAAATTGCATGCATTGTTTCCCTCCCTCCCTCCCTTCACCCCCCCCCTGCTTCTTTTTCAGACGTGCACGTAAACAGCTCAGCAAGTGTACAGAGAGTTGCACAAACTATGGATGAAATTCTGTTGGAACAACAATTAAGATGCTCTCAACGTGTTTCAAACAGGCCAACAATATGCTGACGTATATTACTCTTTAGCCAACCAGCCTCTGTTTCATTCAGTAACGAGAGGCGGTTGCAGTGCATCGTGAAAACCATACATTCCCCATCCCAAAGGATGTGCCATTTGGAGTGTTCCCCTGATCCACTGGAACCACCTGAACTCGCCCAGGCTGAATGAACACGGCCAATGCTTATCCAATACAGAATCAAGTAAAATGCTTTGCTACAAAGGTAAATTTTAGAGGATATACTTTCATATGAAAGTCTTGTGGTCCTACTGTATCTGTTGATGATGAGCTTTAAACTTATAAATATATACACTATCTATAACTGGCATTTACTATAACTATTGCCCATCATAAAATGGCACATGGGAATTCTATACTCCATACTCAGTGTATGGTTACATCATACAATCTTTGCAGTTTTAAAATATTGACTGTATTGTATACTATATACAGTACACCAGTGGTAAACACTGATTTGAAGAGAGAAATTTCTTTTCCAAATTTCCTATTCCTTATCAACTTTGATGCATATAGATGTAACTCTAATTTTGGTTTGTATGGTCTCCTCACATTACATTATTTAAACACAACAGCCTATTTTAAGAAGGGAAGGGTTTTTTCTTATGATTTGACTTCTGTTGCTAAATAGATTATTCTGACCATTAGCAAACTAAAATCAAGTTACTTCTGAGATTTTTGTAGCTGTCGGAAGTCTGAGAAACTAACTAATAATGATTTATTTATGAAAGGATTTTAGATGGATTATTTTTCAATTGTAAGACACCTGTGCCAACAGATGTTCATGCTTTCCTCTCTCTGTTGAACTAAGCAGTTATGAATACCCAAATATTTTGTTTTAGTGTTCTGCTAAGGTAGCCGAATAATCATTTCACATTTCTTGAGGATGTTTTGCTTTTGTGTTTTATCTCTTCTGTCGGCCACCTCCAAGTCTGTGCTCCTCAGAGTTTGGTAAGATCTGTGAGCTTTCCAAGTGGCAAACCTTCATTGCTATGAAATGTTAATTGGTCTCTCCTTAGAGGACCAGCTAATTTAAGGGCATAGTAGAGCATCCTCCACTAAAGCTTACTACACCAGCTGGGGTGGAAGACTCGACTGCCTAGTATAGCTGCATGGGGTAGTTACAGCTCCTCAGGCTTTTCTTTCTGAAAGAAATAGGTTAGAAACTCCAAATGCAGACATCAGGTGGTGGTTTCCAGCCCAAACGTGCATCTCTACAGCAAGCGCACTATCGCGTGCTACAGCTACAGCTGACTTTCTCTTATTTATTTAAAATGGTTGCTATCTACATGGTCACAGGACCCCAGCTACATACCCTTTCTTATTCCTCCATCAGGCGGGCAGGGATATTCCCCGGTTGATAAGAGGAAGCAGGGTCCATATCTCTCCCGAGTGCCAGAGCGCGTAAAGGGCAGGCCCTCATCAGGCGTAATAGCCTGGTCTATGTGGGGACAGTCTTCGTTTGCCAGCGCCGCCTTGGCCACCTCACCATTCAGTTTCGAATCTTCAAACATATAAGCAGAAGGCTATTGAAACACTATGCACTGTTTATTAGAGTTCCAGCTGCAAATTAAGGGTTCACAGCTAAAGACTTCTATAGCGACACTATAAAAGGTAGCACATCTGTCCTAGACACTGCGTTCGTGTGCACTGCACCAAAATAAAATAAAGTCTGTTAAAGTGGAAGGAGAAACAAAAAGTGATCACGTTAGGGGTAACAGCAGCCACCTGTACATCCGCACAGAGGGGCACTTTCAGAAACGGGCGTGCATTGGTTCCTAGTCCTGCGAGCAGAAGACTGCGGTTAGAAATCAGATTATGTTTTCGCATGACGTCGGATGGTGCATGAATGACTGGTTTGTCATGGAGCCTACTGTCACTCAGAACTCTGGAGAGGCAGTGGACTGTGAGTTGTGTTTTAGAATTTGAGTATATTCTGTTTGTGCTGATTTATGCCCGTGTGCAGTATTACTGAGGGGGAAATTCCTGCTCTTCCCCTCCCCAAAATTTACCGAGATGGTTCTATAGCATTTCCAGTATCAGTCATGCAGAATGGCTCTACACATTTTAGACACACAGAGTATGTAACATATGGAAATACAACAGCAGAACGTGGATTTAAGAAAAAACAATCCATTTTCTGATGTTCTCCTCTGAAACACGTACAGTATTTGCAATGCCAGCACAGGACACTACATACAGAAAACACTACAGCAGGCCATGAATTTGGAAACTAGATAGAGTAAAATTTACTCTTGGCTGTAAGTAATAAAAATAGGTTGTCGAATTTTCCCACCTTGCTCCACGCATTCCCATGAGGATAGACTGAGAATCATATGTTTTCTCTGTGTGACTGATTTTACATTTATAACACAATTTAAAGTGCTGTTTAGTGGAGTATTTGTTTTAGGGTTTTAAAGTGCAAATTAGTGTATTGAGAATATACTCGAAATATGGCACAGCTCGATATGAGTATTTTGCTTGAAGGGAGGAAAAACAGTCAAAATGTGCTTTCTGAAGCTCCACAAATGCTGAGATATGTTAACTGAGTGGTACTGGCAGCATCCTACACCTCGGTTGCACAATGCTTATTACCTAGACACTGTAAGGCAATGGGTGATTCTGCAAGTCTTTAAGGAAAGACAAACTTAACAGATAGACTTAATTTCAGTGCTGCTTCTAGATTCACATACTAGCTTGTTCTGAGTGCTACATAATACTGTCATTTATTTTTCAATTATTTCGAAACCAAGTAATAAAACAAGCCCAAGGAAAAAAAAAAACATTAGGTAGGGTTTGGAGAGATAATTCTGATCCTCTGATGGACAACATACATGAGTAGAAGGCAAAAGTGTTTTCAAGTTATATTTGTTGCTTTGCACACAGACATGCACACTCACACACACACACATGTATATGACACATCTATCACGCACTAGTAATTGCATTCTATGCCTTTATTTTTCTCCTGTTTAAATGTCACTGGCTTGTCACAACATAAACAGCCTTTTCTGCAGATCTCACCTCTGCCTCTTTTTTTTCTCTGTGCAGAATCAGCCAGTTATTTCCCCAGAGAGGGAGGTAGTAATGTTTTGTGAGCAATGAAATAATTAGGTCTCTCAATATGTTAAAAAAAAGGCAAAAGCTATAGGTGCATTTTAATACTTGTGGACACTAATTTCAATATGATTCCAAAGTTGTAAGGTTCCACTGAGCTACAATTCCTTTCTGTTCATAATACTCACTGCTATTTAATACCACTGCACAAAAACTTGGCACAGCTGCCATAGTAACCGTGACATTGCAGGTACTGAGCCGTTGATTTAAAAATCACTTAACTGTGTTTGGGGAGAGCTGCAGTCCTCTTGGGGATGAGCAGAGAACTGGGCTGCTTCATAAGCCTCTACTGGTACAAGCTCATGGCTCTAGTCCTGCAATGAGGGAGGCAGCTATGTCAGCAGAGCTCTACACTGAAATCTCTGAGACACCCACTGCTACTCCTGAGCCCAGGTTTGCAAACTAAATTGTTAATGATGGAGGGGGAATTGGTCCATTTCAGGAGCTCAAAACCTTTCTGAGCAGAGTGGTTGTGGGTCAGGCTGCTCACTGGTAACAGCCATTGATCCTTTTGGAAGCAGCTTGCAGGCTCCGTTGTGCTTGAGTGGCAAGAATATTGACCTTCTTTGAATTAATTTCTTAAATTGCATATTAATCTCTAGCAACTTGAGCTGGAACTTGCTCTTGCAGCCCCCTCAGGGTCCCTTCACATTGATGAATTTTTCTCTATGCTTGTTAAAAATCCACAGCTTTGTTATTTTATTTCTATTCAAGAGGAAGAGAACAGAGTAGCTGGAGATGTGGAAAAACTGCTGAACTATTCTGCTAATGCCCCTTGAACGTTACATGCATGGGCCATGCCTTAGGGTTCACATTCTGGATAACAATGCTAATCCACAATGACAATTTGGCTAAATATTTAGGAAGTAGAGAAATTGCCAACACAGAAGACTGCATCTATTGTTGGTGTATATAAGTAAGTGTTAATTAGAGTAGCTGTATTCCAAACCACTGGCTGCAGCACCTAATTCCCTGGACACGACAATCACTTGGTATTTAATATGTGATTAGTCTGTTATAGGAACAAAGAAAACATCTCTGATGTCATCAATCCAATGAGAAGTCCTCATTGTTTTCATTAGCAGATCTACGAGCTGAACTTTAGGAAGAAGGTATAAAGATTGAATGGAATTATGTTATTTTAGTTTGATTTCTCAAGTTTCCATTTGCATGTTTGTTTTTTCCAAGACTGACCTTGTCTTTGAGAGAACTCCAGTTGAAGCAAACCTACTGCAACGATTGCTGTCTGGTGGCTACCAGTCTAATTATACTGATGACAACTACTTCTAGGTGCTTAAAAATTCTAAGGCTTCATTCTGGCCTGCCAAATTCACACAAGTCTTGCCATCCCCCCTAGCTGAATCTGAATTAGGCTTGTACAGCATTTTTTGTTCTTTAGGTTCTATTCCATGAAGAAAGTCAATATTATCACCTCTGTTTTACAGATGGGTAAAACTATCATACAGTGAAGTGACTTGCCTACTGCTATGTAAGAGGTTATTTACAACAAAATTTTCTGACTCTCAGCTTGGCACCTTATCTCCCTAATTGTCCTATCTGTGAATACCTAGTTAGCTGCACCAACTTTAAACATTCTCCTGCAGAGATTTGACTGAGAGGCTAAAGAAAGCATATTTCCCAGGTGAGTAGTTTGTTTCTCAACTACCTTGTTTGTGTGGCTTCCGCTTGTTTTTTTTTTCCTGTCTTATCCATCTCCATTTGCTATCTCTATCTGCCTCCACACCCAAATACCTTGGGTGTTTCCAAGCAAAACTTAGGAGAACTGATGGATTTGGCATTAGTATACTTTGCTGATTGTGGAGAAGCACAGTAGAGACTGCCTGGGTACCTGCTGCTGCATGGCTCATCTCTCTTGTAGTTTTTTTGCAAATCTTTTGCAATTGCTTGCAAACTGTCATAGTGGCTTTACCAGTGCTGCTAGTTTTGATTATAAGCTAGGATCTGGCACTGAATCTCCAGCTATTTGAACTGCATCTTATGTCCAGAGTATCAATGATATACTTATTACCTCAATCTATGCTTGGAAATGAGGCACTAGTACAGAAATGGCTCTTGCACTGGGAAAGTCACCCCAGTCCTCTTCCCTTAAGCAGACACTGGCATTCTCCAATTGCCGCTAAGAAACAAGTTCCTGGTCTACCCTTCTCACTTCAGATATCTTCAGAAATGAGGTGTGGGCCAGGGATGGTCGCAATTCACACTGCTTCCTCTTGGAAGGTTATAGGGGGGTTGTAGGTTTGACTGAAACAGGGCTGAGAGAAACCCCACAGTTCATAGCATGGTACCCATGTATAGTTACCTATGAGTCAGTGTCAGACTACATGGGCTGTGACAGATTCTTTCACATTGTGCTAAAGAAGATGATGTCTTCTCAGCCCTAGATCAGAAACACAGCAATTAAGAGACATAGTACTGGTTTTTTTGTTACATTAGGTCACTGACAATCTCCTCCAGAAGAACAGAGACTATCTTCCTCCCAACTACCCTTGTTTAAAGATTTAAAGAGACAAGGACACAGCTGGAGTACCTACAGCTTCCCTGAGCAGCCATTTGCCATTCCACAAAGGCTCAAGTGACTTCAGGGAGCTGCAGCCCTGTTATAAGGTAAGGGGTTGACTGGCAGGAAGGAGGCAGGAGCAACTGAGTGCAAAGAAGGACCAGAACTGAGAAGGTAAGTTGCTTGAGAGATGAAGAGGTTGCTACTGGGGAAACCTCATCTAAGTAAATTTACATTCCACACCACAACTCCATGTACACCTAAAATTTAAGCTTGTCTAGATCTCAACTGTGCTCTTATAGTCCTGATCCCAAACCTAGGATTACTGTCTGTGGCTAGTGCCACTCCTGATCAGTTGAGGGTGTCCTTTGGTTCTCATCCAGAACTTGAGGGTCATTTTCATTTGCTCATTTTAAACCTGTTGGTAACCCTAGCACACACAGTAGCTGCCTGAAATGTCTTATGAAGAAGTATCTCCACAAGGTCCCTAACAACAGAGACCTTTAATCCAACTGGATCCCTAAAGAAGGAATTGGTATGTTGTCCACTGAGTTAATTACTCTTCTGTTTTTCAGTCCTCTCACGCTTTTCTGGTGATGTAAAAGGGCTGGTACTGTGTCATATTATGCTGGCAATGGGAAATTCTTTTTGGTATGATGGCTTTCCCTGGCTCTAGGGTTAGTGACAGAAAGCTACAGGAGCAGAGGTGTGCTCTAGCTTTTCTTAGCTACAAGCCTATTAGCTGGAAGTGGGAAGTTGAGCAGCACTGAGGCTGCTGAAGAACAGATTTTTCGTATGCCTTTATTCTAAAATAAAGAAAAAAGCAAGGATTTTACATTCCTTTTTGCATCCTAGTTTTGCAGCATCAC